ACCTTTATGATATAAACAATCTTTAGGTAGTAAAACTACTTCTGTAGAGTATACGTCTTACCTTTATGATATAAACAATCTTTAGGTAGTAAAACTACGTTCTGTAGAGTATACGTCTTACCTTTATGATATAAACAGTCTTTAGGTAGTAAAACTAGTTATTATCGGTACGTCTTACCTTTATGATATAAACAGTCTTTAGGTATTAAAACTAGTTATTATCGGTACGTCTTACCTTTATGTACCTAAAGACTGTTTATATGTAAAACTAGTTATTATCTATACATCTTACCTTTATGATATAAACAATCTTTAGGTAATAAAACTACTTCTGTAGAGTATACGTCTTACCTTTATGATATAAACAGTCTTTAGGTAATAAAACTAGTTCTGTAGAGAAGACGTATAGATAATAACTAGTTTTACTACCTAAAGACTGTTTATATCATAAAGGTAAGACGTATATTTCGTCTTACTAAACAAAGGCTCTTTCAGGTGAAATGACAGGGAAATGTCTGTTAATTCATTTAAGTTTTGTTGGTAAGCGAATAAAGAATACACAATTAATAGTGTGGGAAAAGGTCAAACAACACAGAAAGTAACAGGATAAATAACCGCGAAGTTTCTTTTTTTTCCCAAATGGAAAGCTTGTTTATTGTTGGATTTTTTTGAAAACTTGAACTAATAAAAAAAAAAGTCGTTCGGTATAGTCGATGTCGTGGGTTAAATAAAAAAAAAATTGAAAACAGTAAATAACAAGGGAGTGTAGAGTTTCTCTTTACGAATGGTTTCGCATTTCGTAAAATCGATTTCGATTGTCAAAATCCTCAACTTCAAAAAATAAATTTTGTCTGTTTGTTGTAAAGCACGAAGCTACGCAATGGGCTATCTATGATCTGCTCAACTCGGGTATTGAAACCAAATTTTTAAAGTTATAAGCCCACTGACAATAATAAAATAGCCCTTGGATAAAATCTGACCTACTGGTGAAATTCAAAACTGCAATGATGGAAAACAATTCAATATGATATTTCCTGCTAACACATGATTCTGTAGTTGGTAAAGCAAACGTTGTACCATTAGATACAATTTTTAAAGTTTAAAAACAGGATAGATAACAATGCAATGTAAATATTTTTGTTACCGAAAATTAGTTTTGAGTTTATCAAAGCCCAGATTTTAACCATTATGTTACTGAAGGATGTTACTTCATTTCAATTGAGTTGCTTTCTATAGAAGTTGCACTGCCGTGTTCAAACGGTTACTAAGCAACGGTCACCCCTTGACAACCTTGGTAATTAGCTATGCTAATTAGTTCAAACTTAATTTGTGAAGCTTATGTGTACTGCTTCAAGTTTCAATAACGCATGCGTGACATTCCTAATCATAAGTGTGACAGGTTGATTGGTTTTATGGGGATTTACAGTCTTTTTTACTTCACTATATAGTAACTTAAGTTAACTGAGGTATGTGAATAACATATTGGCACTGCGCTTAATTTATCAGCAGATATTGTACAGCTATCCAACTGTTTAATGATTCTATATGTATGTTGCAAAATTCTTTTTTTTTTTACCAAAGGTAGAATTGAAAATATTATCTGTGTTTATAGCAGAGAAGAATGTATTATGCCTTTACGTCACGTCCACAGCAGAGACTACAGCCAATCAAAGAATGCATTAGGCCTTTACGTCACAGATGATATATTCAATTTCAGTTTTTGTGAAAAAGAAATCTGTAACATACAAGTTGATTAATTTGAGGTTTTTGAACTCTCAACTTTATAAATATAAAGAGATGTCACATTATCACCATATCAGTTTTCTGTTTTCCTATTGCATTTCTTCTCTAAAGTTGTGATCAATCTTAAACAAGATTTTCATGGGCTTGCACGTAGCTGTAACATCTCTCTGCCTAAATATAGGCGAATGGCTAACCCTTTTTAGAATTACCCTGATAATCTCTTGGCCTAGATGTAAAAACTTCCATGTTATAGTTGAAAGCCTACTGCTACTTTATATATGTATGTGTCTTATTTAATTATCCATTTACTTTATTTATTTATTTTATTTAATTATTTAGTTATTTATTGATATAATTTTCTCCGTTTCAAATTCGTTCATTCTTTTCTACCCTTTTACCCCCTAATGTATATAAGAAGGGATAACGTTTTTAATGATAATAATAAACAGGAAAAACAAACGTGTCCCTTGTTTAGTATTAATAATTTAGTTTATAGTTGCATAAACTGAGTAAATTCGCCCAATATCATTTAATTTAATTTAATACTGGTTGTTGTTGTGTTTTTGTTGTTTTTTTGGCACTAAAGATAGGTAGGCCTATTTGCTTTATAGCAATCGGGTCTAACAGTGTTTCTACTATTGAGTAACAGTAAAAGGTTAATAGCGTTGTTCCAATCAATGTAATATGATTAATATAATTATAGTATTTTGGCACTTGTGTATGAAGTTAATGAATAAAGTTGTTGCAGAAACTATTAAGGCTAATTGTCATCGATTATATATCAGTTAATCTCGTGCTTCGCGTATGAACCATATTTAAACTTTAGGCCTAATTGTCGATTTTTAGGCACCTGTTGGAATTTGTATTGAAATATAGGGGTAAAGCATTATTTATAAGCCACAGAAACATATAAAATTAACTTAATGTGTTTTCTTGCGTGTTTGTTTATGTTACTGAAGTAAGTGTCTTTAAAGTTAATGTTATAAACGTCGTAGTTTTGTAATAATGCACGCTAAACGTCGTTCACTTTTGCACTCGTATAAACGTAAACGTACCACTGTACAATTAGCCAATAAAAATATTCGGTTTACATGTGAGCTATAACACATATACCCAAGGACTGACTGACACACACATTGTTCTTTTTATTATTTTATTGCAAGTTACAGCTTTTACAGTAAAGAGGATTATTTTTTAGATGAGGCACGACGTTTCGATCACTGGTGCGATCATCAGTAAGTAAACTCAAATTAATTGTTCTTTTTAATTTCATAGATAACATATTGTTCGTTATTTCAATGCAACAGTATATTTTATGATTGTGTCAACAATAAACTAATCACAAAGGACATTATTTATAACGTGAAGTCATATTTCTATGCTACATTATATGGTGTTATTCTTAAGCCTTATTTGCAAACCATTTTAATAGTACCAAGTATTGAGTTGACTATTAGAGAAACACTTGAAGAAATACGTTGCTGAGACGTTTCGAAACCCTCTCGTCTTTGACTTTAGCTACCGTTTCACAATATTTTATTTGTTTCAGAATTTCGCCAGACACTAGATCATCGTTTTTCAGAGCAGTTAAAATTAATAAAATGTTGCCCCGGGACCAAAATTATAATGTTTGATATTAATATCATAATATATTTGCTTAATAACAGGCAGAGGAAATGATCGAAGATATCAAAAGAGCCTTCATAAACATACTGGAAGAAATTGACTGGATGGACAACAACACGAAACCGGTGGCAAAAAGAAAAGTAAGACAATACCACATACTCTACAGAAATAGTTTTAATACCTAAAGATTGTTTATATCATAAGGGTGCGAAACGAAAATAGATATTCGGATCTGATGATTGGATTTTTGCTGAATTACGTTTGCAACATTTTTTTTAATGGGCATACGCAAGAATGAGTCTTGAATCCTATATCTTATGACAAGTCATAAAACTTAGTACGTACAGTCACCTAAGTGACTATACATCTCATCTTAGCTTGCACCCATATTTTTTAAAAGGTTCCTTGGTTCGATGTCATGTCTGTTCGCAAGCCATCATCCATCATAGTCGATCGAAGTCTTGTTTTTATTAGGTACATCACAATTTGTAGATGTACGAGTTTACGATTACAAATTAAACAGTTATTTATTGCATAAACACGTGTCTTCTGTTACAGACATTTAATGGAAAGGGATTGACGTGCTGATATCTGGAGAAGAAGAAGCAAACACGTGTATTCTGTTACAAACATTCAATGGAAGGAGATTGACGTGCTGATATCTGGAGAAGAAGAGACAGACACGTGTCTTCTGTTACGAACATTCAATGGGAGGAGATTGACGTGCTGATATCTGGAGAAGAAGAGGCAGACACGTGTCTTCTGTTATAAATATTCAATGGAAGGAG